GACCCTAAGGCAAAATCTCTTAAAAAAAAAAAAAAAGAAAAGAAAAAAAAATTCACCCATGGAAGTTCACGGAATCAGAACACAGAAAATACAGAGAGGAGGAACAACTGGAACCCTTGACTCAACATTTTCTAATTCAGACTACTTCGCGCCTGCTCACGGGCCCTTCCCTATCCATACAGAGCCGCAGCCACAGCCTGAAGAGGACGAATTCCCTGGTCCTTCTGCCCTTGTCAGGGGAGATCTAGGGGTGTCTGGGACCCCGAGTAAGGTTGGCACTGTATGTTGACTTCCAGTATTCCCTTATTAGAATGACTACACCCTGTGGACTGCATACCAGAACACGGACACTCAGCAGGTCCTGATGGAAGAGAGAAATGTTTTCTGTGGGACCTACAACATCCGCATTCTCTCTGACACGTATGTACTGGGGTCAGAATCCAGGTCTTCAAGGACCCTTGATTTGTACATACAGGAATCTTAGGATACCCCTGATCCTTGTTTACTTGGACAGGTAACACTCATCTCATCTGAGGCCCCAGCCCCAAAGTAGCCTGAGATCTTGTTTGGACAACATGTACTTGCTTTTATTATATACCATGCTCAGTGGGTAGAGGGTACTTTTTCTTTATAAATTATGGGTATACTGGGGCTGGCAGGTGGCATGGTAGTTAAGACGCTGACTCCCACATGGCTAACCACGGTTTGAGTCCTGAACCTGGTGGCTTGCTTTCTTATGCTCCCTCTCTTTCTCTCTCTGGCCAAACTGAAGAATAATGATAAACAAATAAAGTGAAATAAATAATTATTGAAAAAATAAATTATGGGGATACTGACCAACAAACTTATATAAGTCATGCACATGCAATCCTTTTTTTCTCTGCAATCTCTTTATTGTTTTATTCTAATTTTAGAAGTAACGTATGCTTATTAGAAAAAAAAAAACAATACTCCAAACACATGCCAAAAAAATGAATGGAGGTGAACAAAGATCTAAAATCTTGCTACCTAGAGATAACCAATATATTGATGTCTTTCTAGAATTGTTTTTGCATATATACCACATACCTTGAGTAGAAATGAGGCTTGTATTTACATATTTCTACAGCCCAATATGATAAATCATTGAAGCTATCTTTTCATGTTAAATATGAAAATCATATTTACAACTGCATAGTGTAACATTTGGATATGGCACAGAGGAAGACCCTTTAATAATTAGTTTTCTGTCATATGTTAGGCCTAGGACTTCACTCTTATTCACAATGTTTTGAGAAGACCACCTTTTTTTCATTTTTTGGCCATTAATTATTAACAAATTGTGTCTTGAGAATAGACCAGTTGATGTGGAGAAGACCAAGCAGATAGGAGGAAGGCAAAGTTGAGTTTTCATGGATAGTATGGTGATAATTGTTCCTTAGAAGAGATGATGGCTGATTTAAATCTAGAAAGAATGAATGAATGAGAACAAACATATTGAGAATTGCTCCTTGAGCCAGCAGGTGGCATGGAGGTTAAGGTGGCCGGATCCTACATGGCTGACAACGTGTTCTGAGAGAATGGAGGAGAAGGGATTGCGGCATGTCCATCTCCTTTGGGGAGGTGATTTCTCACTTTCTCTGTCTCTTTCTGGCTAGCACGCATGCCCTATAGCAAACTAAAACAACAAAAAAAGGCTCCTCGTATTTAGAGTGACTACACACCCCTGTTCATTGGGACAATCCCACTTTATGAATAATTCATAATAATGTCCCATGTGGGGGCCAGCAGGTAGCGCAGTGGTTAAGGGCGCTGGACTCCCACATGGCTGACCTTGGTTACTTGGACAGGTAACACTCACCTCATCTGAGTCCTGGACCTGGCGGCTTGCTTTCTCACTTTCCTTCTCTCTCTCTCTCGTTCTTAGTCTGTCCCTCTCTGATCAAAATAAAAATAAATAAATAAATAAAGTTAAATAAAATAATTCTTTAAAAAGAAAATAATGGTCCATGTGACAATAACAAGTGGCTCAGTTTTAAAGCAGTTGGTCATCCTCATCATTTTCCTACTTGTAAATAATGATACGATTGCAAAATTAATGCAGCTTCCCTGGTTTTATTGCACTATAACCTTATTGCAAACAAGGTCCAAATCTTAGTCATTCTGTATGTACCATGATACCTACTGGCGCTGGACTCTGAACTGAACGTATGCTCATTGGATATGGTTAAATAAAGGGGGGAAGAGAGAAAGAACGAGATCAGTGCAATGCATAAAGGGCTTCCCAGCTGTGTTCCTCTAAGAATTTCCACAAGAGAAGGTGTCTATAGTCAAAGAAGTTTGAGAAATGTCACATTCTTTATTCTCTGTATTAGGGATTTAGTATTCACTAGCAATTTCTTTTCAAAATAACCGTGCCTGCGTCTTTAAGTTTTAAATCTACCCGAAATGGATTTTTGTTATGGTATGTGGTAGGGCTCCATCCAGACCTGTTTAGTAGACTACTGATATGTAGGTACTTGGGTCAGAATCCTGGTCTTTGGGTCTTGCCTTCTGCTGCCTCCCATATATATATCACAAATTAGTTCATTTTTAACACCCATCGTGCCATGAATTCACAGGGAATAGGTTCCAGTAGCTCAGGTTCCTTTCCATTGGTTCTCACAAAGTGTGCTTCTCTGGGTGGAGCAGGCTGGCACTTCAGTTGAACCCAGGTCCCTTTCTCTTTGGCTTCCTTCTTTTTCTGGTCATTTTCCTTCACACGTTTTAGGAAGCTATCTCTGCTCTTAGAATACTTAATATGCTCAATTCGCACATTCATTCTCTTGGCAAGAATCTTGCCCTTAACTCGTTTGTCAGAACAATGCCAACAGCATGCTGGGTAACATTGTAAACTCTTCCAGTTTTGCCATGGTAACATGTGTGGGGCATTCCTTTTTGAACAGTACCCATTCCCTTGATGTCTACAACATCACCTTTCTTGTAGATTCGCATGTATGCTGCCAAAGGAACCACTCCATGTTTTCTAAAAGGCCTAGAGAACACATATCAGGTGCCTCTCCTCTTTCTCTTTGTGTTTGTCATTTTGGTTAATTACTGGAAGATGACAGTTCTGGCCAAAAGCCTGCCTCCCTTGTTGAAAGGCCTGAATTTTCTATCACACCACTGGCTCAAGTCCCTTCGACAAGTAAGTTCCAGGAAGGCAGTGACTCTTCTTTCATGGTAACTCTTTTCCCTGGCAACTCAGGTGGGACCGAAACAGAGTCATCCACTATGCAGGGGGAGATCTGGTAGCTGTGTCATCTAATCGGAAGATCCAGCTTCTGGATATCATTCGAGTAAAGGAGATACCTGTCCAGTTCCGAGGCCATGCTGGGAGTGTCCGGGCCCTCTTCTTGTGTGAGGAGGAACACTTTCTCCTCAGCGGGAGCTACGACCTAAGCATCAGGTGAGCCAGCCAAGAAGGCCATGATCCCTGTCCCGTCTAGGACCTACAGACTGCAACTTTTATAGTCACTGAAAAGTCATCCCAAATGATACTGCTAGAATACCTATAGCTTTATTTTGGGCAAGGTAAAAGCCAAGAATTTATCAGTTTTTTGTTTGCTTGTTTTTGGAGAGATTTTTGCTATAGGGTACATGTGCTCGCTGGAGAGACTGACAGAAAGTGAGAAATCACCCCCCCCCCCGGGGGGATGGCCATGCCACAATCCCTTTTCCTCCATTCTCCTCTTGGGATTTTGGGCACACATGCACACGTGCCTGGCTTGTTTCAAGCCTCTGGGTCTGGGACTTGAACCGTCATCCACCATGTGAGAGTCAAGCAACATAATCATGACACCATCAGCCGGTCCCTAAGAATTTATCAGTTTATCAGGGTTTGTTTTTGTTTTTGCCATAGGGCGTATGTGCTCACTGGAGAGAGACAAAGAGAAAATGAGAAATCACCTCTCCCCCATCCCCCACTACTTCCTGCCACCAGACAGAATGGCCACACTGCAATCCCTTCCTCTCTCTGGGTTTTGGGCACACATGTACATGCTTCCAGTGTGAATTTCAAGCCACCAGGTCTGGGTTTGAAGCACAGTTGGCCATGTGGGAATCCAGAACCTTAACCACTATACTATCCACCTACCATGTCAGTGGTTCTCCCCACTTCTAAGTCACTGAGATATTTTCCATTTTTTTCTTTTATTAACTTTGTAGCTTTAGTTTTATCTTTAGCATTCAGTTTATTATTATTATTATTTATTTTTGTATCTATTTGTAGCCTGACTTTGTGTGTGGTGTTAGGTAGGGTTTTCATCTTATTGATTTATTTATTTAAAACATGAGCGGTTCCCCCCCACAGCAACTACTAAATAACCGGACATGCCCCCCTTGTTTGGAGGTACCATCTTTAACATTTATATGTGAGAACATCTCTGAGCTCTCTATTTAGTTCACTGGTCTATTTTTTGTTTCAACAAAACCACCCAGTTTTTAAGATTTTCAATTTGTTGGGCCAGGAGGTGGTGCGGTGGTTAAGGCTCTGGATCCCTCATGGCCAACAAACCAACCAAACAAATAAATAAGTAAAATAAAATTAAAAAAAAGAAATAAAACATGCTTTCTTTCAGACCATGGGACATTGTCGAATGTATTATAGGTTCTCATAGACTGGTGAGGTGTTGGCCAAACTGTAAGCCTTTGGGAATATTAGAAGAAAAAGCTTTTCATTTATTAATCATATATTATGTTCAAGGCTCACAATAACTCTGAGGTAAATACCATTGCTCCCCAACTTACAGATAAAGCAACCGAGGCTCAGAGTAGTTCAGTAACTTACCCAAGATCACACAGCTAGTAAGTGATGGATGTGGGATCAGACCTCAGGCAGCCCGGCTGTAGAGGCCATTACATTAACATTGCATTTTGTCCTGTCACAGAAGCCATCTGGCTAAAGTAGAAGTCTGTATCAGTAACTGCTGAGAGACCTCAGGCAAGTTTTTAAATTAAAAAAATAGAAAGGTGACTCAGGCATGCTCCCATATATCTCTTAGATATTCTTTAGATACACAAAAATATTTTGGATCTAAATGACTGTGAAGGATTATTCTGTTGCTGTTGTTTGAAGATCAGCCCTACCGTTGAATCAGTGCCATGGATTCTAAGGCTGGGGGGTCATTCCAAGGATTCTTCAACCTAAAACCACCTAGTGTTTATCAAGCACTTTTGAAAGTTTATTTCTGTCTTTATTTCGTGAGTAGACAGAGAAAGAGAGGGGGGAATAGAAAGAAAAAGTGGAGAGTGGAGAGTAAGAGAGACAGAGACAACACCTCAACAGGATCTTGATCCACCCCAAGTGTCAACCAGCCCCAAATCCTGGGTGTGTGCAGGCTCCATGTACTCAGGGAGGTCTCTGGACATGAACCTGGGAACATACTGTGTGAGTCAGCCTCCCATGGTGTTGTATTTTACCACGGTGCTGCTGTCCAGCCCACCATATCAAGCATTTTCTGTATGTTAGTCACTGATCTAGTGTCACACGCATTAGTGTGGGGGTTGTCAACCACAGCACTATTGACATTTAGGGCTGGATAATTATGGAGGCTGCCCTGTGCATTGAAAGATGTTTAGCAGCGTCCTTAGACTCACTAGATACAAGGTAGCACCTCTCTTCCAATTTGTGACCACCAAAAAATGTCTCCAGTTGTATGATGTATCCAAATATCCCCCAAGGGTAGAAATCACTACTAGTTGACAGTCATTGTATTAGTGCATTTATTTTTATTTAAAAAATAATAATTATTTATTTAACTTTGGTTATTTATTTATTTATTTATTTAGAGATTTTTGCCATAGGGCGCGCGCGCTCGCCAGACAGACAGAGAGAGACAGAAAGTGAGAAATCACCCCCCAGGGAGGATTGGCCATACCGTAATCCCTTCTCCTCCATTCTCCTTTCAGGATCTTGGGCACGTACGCACATGCGCCTGGCATGAGTCTTAAGCCACCGGGTCCGGGACGCGAACCATGGTTGACTACATGGGAGTCCAGTGACATAGCCATTACGCTAATTGCTGGTCCCCTTAACTTTCTTTTTTTTTGGTCATTATTTTTAAATTTGATGAGAGAGAGAGAGAAGAGAGAGCGAGCAAGGAAGCCGCTAGGTCAGTGGGAGTCCAGCATCTTAACCACCATGCCACCTGCCGGCCCCAGTGCATTTAATACTTCACAAAACCCCTATGAGAAAGCTACTATTATTATTATTTCCAGTTTATCAATGAGGAAATGAAGCTTATGCAGAGATTAGGTAACTTCCCAATGTTACCCCAAATCAGTGCTACAGATGGGATTTAGATTCAGGCCACTGACTCTAAGCTTAACTATGAGAGTATGATCCTTGGGCCTCAGAAAAATCTCAAAAGCATTTTTTTTGGCCTGATTCATGCAGATACTGGGATCTAAAAACTGGCGCTTGCACACGAATCTTTAATGGCCACCAGGGAACAGTCACGTGCATGGATTTATGTAAGAACAGACTCGTATCTGGAGCAAGAGATGGCCAGGTAAAAGGTGAGAAAGAAACGCCTTGAATTTTCTAAGAAGCTTCCCCAAATCCATGGGTTACCAATACTTGTTTTGCTCATTTCTGTAGGCAGCTATTTATCCATCCATCCATCCATCCATCCATCCATCCATCTATTAATCCAACCATCAATTCATTCTTTTTTTTTCCACTTCTTAAAGAACTTTATTTAATCAATCTTTTTTTTTGCATTTATTATTATTATCATCATAACCTTCTTTATATTACATTGGGTTACATATAATTTTACAGTGTATTACATTGCTTTCTCAAAAGGGAATGCCATGCATGTCAGTCAATACAGAGACATTAATCTCCCCACTTCATCATTCAATATCTTTTCTATGTTTTTTCCAATCATTATTATTATTATTATTCTAATTGTTTTTTAAAACAGTCAATCACTATTTCTCATTTTGCTTGTAAAAAGACTTTACCCATCATGAAATACTTCTCAGACCAATCCAGTTGAGAATACTATACATGTCATCATCAACGGGTAATAAGTGATATCTGTGTCTCACTAACGTCCTGCCTCTCTGTTGTTCTCTTGCTATCTTTCTCTATCCTCTTCTCTTCACCTCCCCCATTCCGCACTGTCCTATTCTCCTTAAGTACCTTCACTGCTTTTATGTCCTCCAATTTTTCGCTCTCTACCATAGAGTACAGATAGTCGGTATATATTGAGTGGATACATAAAAATATGGAACGCTTTATGAATTTGCGTGTCATCCTTGCGTAGGGGCCATGCTAATCTTCTCTGTATCGTTCCAATTTTAGTATATGTGCTGCCGAAGCGAGCACAACAACTATTTCTTGAATATCCACAGTATGCTAGACACTGTGTGAGGTGCTGGGGAGAAAAAAATGGGCACTGTGACATTTTAGTACAGATTTTTAAAAAATTATTATTTAACTTTATTTTTATTTATTTATTTAAATTTGACCAGAGAGGGGCAGAGTGACGGAGAGGGAAAGTGAGAAAGCAGGTCACCAGGTCTGGGATTCAAACCGTGGTAGGCCATGTGGAAGTCCAGTACCCTAAATCACCTCGCCCCCTACCAGCCCCATAGGTGTCGATTTTTATTTAGAGGTTCATAGTCTCCTAGTGGAAGTTGGTATGTAAATATATGAGAAGCCTTCAGAAAATTCACAAAAATGCATGTTATGGGGGACCAGCAGGTAGCGTAATGGCTATGTCGCTGGACTCCCATGTAGTCGATTGCGGTTCGATTCCCAGACCTGGTGGCTTAAACTCACGCTGGGCGTGTGTGCGTGCATGCCCAAGATCCCAAGAGGAGAATGGAGGAGAAGGGATTGCGGCGTGGCCATCCCCCCTGGGGGGTGATTTCTTGCTTTCTGTCTCTCTCTGTCTGTCTGGTTAGCGCATGCGCCCTATAGTAAAAACCTCTCCGAAAAAAAAATGCATGTTATGAAAAAACTATGCATGAGTTTCAAAAAATTTTTGAGCCCCAATAAACTTGTATTTTCATTGTTTCCTCATGAACTTTTTGAAGTTCCTTTGTATAATGAGGGATGTAATAAATACATGACGGACTTATTTACTTATTTATTTTTAGAGAGATTTTTTGCTGTAGGGCACATGGGATCACTGGAGAGTCAGAGAGAGACATAGAGAAAGTGAGAAATCACCCCCGGGCATATGGCCATACTGCAATCCCTTGTTCTCCATTTTTCTTTCAGGATTTTAGACACATACGCACACATGCCCAGTGTGAGTTTTAAGCCACTGGGTCTGAGACTCAAACTGTGGTGGACTACGAGGGAGTTGACCATTATGCCATTTGCTGCTCCAAATGGACACATTTATTGAATAATGGTTTTTTTTTTTTTTAAGAATTATTTCATTTAGCTTTTATGTGCTTATTTATTTATTTATTTATTTATTTTAATTTGACCGGGGAGGGGGGGGGAGACAGAGAGAGAGAGAGAGAGAGAGAGAGAGAGAGAGAGAGAGAGAGAGAAGAGAGAGAATGAGAAATCAAGCCACCAGTTATGGGATTCAAACTGCCATTGACCTTGGAGTCCAGTGCCCTGAACCACCACACCACCTGCTAGCCCCTTGAATAGCAGTTTTGTAATAGGCACTGTCGTTGTCTACTGTGGGCCAGGCATCGTGGTTATATACACTCTGGTGGGTTGTAAACGGTGGGCCGTGATTGGTTGTAAACGGTGGGCTGTGATTGGTTGTAAACAGTGGGCTGTGATTGGTTGCTTTTGGACCAATCATGAGGTGCTGGATATGCAAATTTGAGGGATTCTAGTGGCCAATCAGAGCAAGGTTTCAAAGGTCAGGTTTTTTGAAGGGAACCAATCATGGTAATTGTTTGCTCTCTGAGAAACCTCGGCAGACTTGCCAGTGTGCAGCCTCCCACAACTTTACGTGTATTAAACCCTATTTAATCCTCACAAGAACCCCATGAGGTGAATGCAGATGATGAGTCTAAAACTTGTCCCAAATCAAAGCTGCTGAGTGGCTGAAAGGGAACTTGAACCTGAGGCTGCCTGGCTCTAACTCATGTGCTCCTAACCACACAGGAGTCATAAAAGACCATAGAAATCAGAGTAAATTAGGGAAAGCTTCAAGGGCAGGGTGCTTGCTGAGTGGGATCTTGAGCATGAGCAGCTTCACAGAGAAGAGGAAGAGGATAAGGTATTCCAAGCGGAGAACAGCACAGGCAAATGCTCAGAAGGAGGTAGAAAATGATTAATTCTAGATTTCTTCATTTCTTGGTGTGTCTGGACTGCATTGTGCGATGCTGGAGATAGGACTGGTGAGTGCCTAAGGCCAGATTTTAAAGAGCATTTTGCGTCATGGTATGAAACTGACTTTATCTTGCACAATAAAGCGTACATGCATTTTAAGTTGGGAACTGACACATGACCATGATTATTTTAGAAAGATAATTCTAGGGACAGTTTGGAAGAAGGGTTTAGAAAGCAGTGACTGTATGGATACAGGAAGTGTGTTAAGACACTCTTCAGTCTAGGGAACTACCATGTGTCTTCAGAATAATTAGAATAAGCCAATGAGAGGAAATTCAGTGGGCCAGACTGGAGGGAGGTCTCGAGAGGGAGAATTGGCAGGAAGAATATGGAACGTGGGGAAGACATAGGAACAGATGATAAGACCAGAGCTTTGGTTTTCAGTTTTTTAAATTTAATTTAATTAAAATTTTTTTTTTTTTAATGCAGGCCACTGGGTATACAGAAATACAGTGAATGGAAGTAAGAACTACAGGGAAGGATAGGGCAGGGTGAGGAACGGGGTCATGTGTTCAGTTTTAGGCCTGCCAAGTATCATAGGCAGAAAAGTGGTCAAGATGTTTAAGTCCTAAACCTTGGGATTGACTATGTTATCCTGCATTGCAAAGGGGACTTTGCAGATGTGACTAAATTAAAGACATCACAATGGGGAGATTATCCTCAACTACTGGGCTGGGGCAATGGGATGCCATGGATCCTTAAAAATAGAGAAATGGGTTTGATCATGTAGCTTATTGATTAAGGGAGCTGGAGCCCATATGGGGTTGGAAGCTTGGCTCCAGAGGCTTGAAAAACATACCAGGCACATGTGTGTGCCATTTCCAAATTCCTGAAAGGATGGAGCAGTGGAGGAGAAGGGATTTTGGGATGACTATATCTCACCGTGGAGTGCTTTCTTCCTCTCTGTCTGTCTCTGTTTCTCTGTCTCTCTCTGTCTGTCTTGGTGAGTACATATACCTTTTGGCAATTAAATAAAATTTTTTTTAAAAAAAGGCAAATTGAACACATGAAATTCACTGTAAAGAAAATATAAAATGTTTCTCACGTCACCCTAATCCTGGCCCCAGCCATCAGCCTGCTTCTCCTGGGCTCTTGCCACCTGCCTAGGCTACCAATAATAGAACAGACAAGGAGAAAATTGGAGTCTTGAAAAATAACTCTCCTGTTTTAAAATTTTGTAAACCAGGGTACCTTACCAATGAATCTTTCAGTGTTCCTGCTCATAATTTTATTCATGGGCCACGATAGATGCATTAAAAACAAGTTAAGGGGACCAGCAGGTGGTATAGTGGTTAAGGCACTGGACACTCCCACATGGCTGACCACAGTTTGAGTCCCGGATCTGGTGGCTTGCTTTCTCATTTTCCCTCTCTCTCTTTCTCTGTGTCTCTCTCTGGCCAAATTTAAATAAATGAATGAATAAATCAAATTAAATAAATAATTCTTAAAAAAATAGTTAGAAGGGGCAGCAGGTGGTGTGGTGGTTAAAGTGCTGGATCCCACATGGCTGACTTCATGGTTCAAGTCCTGGACCTGGCAGCCTGAAAAATACACCAGGGGTGTGTGTGTACATGCTCAAAATCCCAAGAGGAAAACGGAGGAGAAGAAATTGTGGCAAAGCCATCCTCCCAGGAGGTGATTTCTTACTTTCCCTCTCTCTGATGAGTGTGCATGCCCTATGGCAAAATATCTGGAGAAAAAAAAAAAGTGATACAAACATCCTTACATAGTTAGGGTTAATCTGGCATAAATGATCAAGAGCATGGCTTCTGGATCCAGACTTCCTGGTTTCAAATGCCAGCTCTGCTGGTCACTGTCTGTGAGTTGAGTTTAGCAAGTAACTGAACTCACTGCCTCAGTTTCCTCAACTGTATCGTGGAGAAAAACAATAGTACCTGCCTTGGGAAGATGAATCAATGCAGGTCAGTCACTAGGAATGGTTCCTAATTCATTGCTAGTGCTATGTATCAGCTGTGATTATTATTTCATCTTAGGCTACTTGTTCTATTGCCTGAGGAAGACAATACTTTGAGGGTTTATGAAACAGACTTTCATATTTTCATCTCTAAATTTGTACTCACTTTCAACTTATTTTTTAAATTTTATTCATTGTCATTTTATTATTATTATCTTATTGAAGTTGACCCAAGAGAGACAGAGAGAGAGAGAGAGAGAAGGAAAGTAAAAAAGCAAGCTGCCAGGTCCGGGACTCGAACCACAATCAGCAATGTGGGAGTCCAGTGCCTTAACCACCATGCCACCTGCCGGCCCTAACTTCCTTTTTTTAAAAGTTTATTTCTTTATTTTTTACATGAGTGAGACAATAGACAGCACCTCCAAAGAGGTCTTCATGCCATGATCCATCAGCCAGCCACAGATCACGGACACACAAGTCCCCAGCATACTCAGGGAGGTCTCTAGACATGAACTGGGAACCTTCCCATGTGGTATTGCCTTGCAGAGTGTTGTGTTTTGCTGCTGTACCACTGTCTGGCCCCTCTGTTTTGTTTGTTTGTTTTGTTTTTCTTAGTTCTGTTTGTGCACCCACCCAAACAGCCTCATCCCTCCATCCTCACCAACATCTACAGTATGCTAGGCAGTTGCTCTAACACAGTCTATGTATAAGCAGCATCAAAACCACTCCTAGCCATGCTTCCTTTTGGCCGGAACCACCATCTTCCAACATATATGCGAATCTACAAGAAAGGTGATATTGTAGACATTAAGGGAATGGGTACTGTTCAAAAAGGAATGCCCCACAAATGTTACCATGGCAAAACTGGAAGAGTTTACAATGTTACCCAGCATGCTGTTGGCATTGTTGTGAACAAATAAGTTAGGGGCAAGATTCTTGCCAAGAGAATCAATGTGCATATTGAGCATATTAAACATTCTAAGAGTAGAGATAGCTTCCTAAAACGTGTGAAGGAAAATGACCAGAAAAGGAAGGAAGCCAAAGAGAAAGGTACCTGGGTTCAACTAAAGCGCCAGCCTGCTCCACCCAGAGAAGCACACTTTGTGAGAACCAATGGAAAGGAGCCTGAGCTACTGGAACCTATTCCCTATGAATTCATGGCATGATGGGTGTTAAAAATAAACTAATCTGTGGTCTATTAAAAACAAAACAAAACAAAACAAAAAACACTCCTAGCCATGACAATTCCTCAATGATCCAAAAGTTAAATTCAGAAATATTAAAAATGTAAATGAAGAGAAACAACTTTCTTTTAACTGGGCAATAGAAGGTGTGGGTCAGAAGTATATGCATGATTTTCATGAAATCTCAATAGCCGGCATTTTTCAGGCTTGAAGAGTGGGCTTTATGGAGATGAGTGGTCTGGCACTTGGACCCCAGGGCTCAGTTCCAGGGTCAGAGTCAAGGATTTTGCTGGCTATCCCCAGGGTCCATGGTCAGGGAGCTCTGTGCTATAGGTATGTAGAGCTACTGGTGAGCCTGTCCTGTGGGTGACAACCTTCTGGGTTTAACTTAATGAGCTCAGCTTGTTTTTGCTTCTGTGATTAGGAGTGGAATTCCTCTATAACTCTCCGCCATCCCCCTCTCCTTCACCTCCCCTCTCTCTCTGTCTCTTTTCCTCTCTCCCTCTGCCCTTCAGAATGGGATATAGACACAGGGAAGTGCTTGAAGACTTTTAAACACAAAGACCCCATCTTGGCCACCAGGATCAATGACACCTACATCGTGAGCAGCTGTGAGCGAGGAATGGTGAAAGTGTGGCAGCTTGCTACAGCCCAGCTGGTAAAGGTGAGAGGATGGTGGGCTGGGGCACTGGTGATGACTGGTTGGAGGAGAAGGATGGTCTACCCCCCACGTAGCTCCTTAGACAATCCTGGAGCAACTGAGTTATAGCCACCAACCAGGGCAGTTCTGAAGTGCTAAAGAGGAAGGCCTCAAAGGGGAGCACTGGAAGATAGGGCCTGCCCCAGCCACAGTGGTCAGTGGTCAGGAGCTCCACCCCCACATTGTGACTCATCCTGTCATGGGGTTGGTAGAGGAAATCCACATTCCAACTCATCACAAGATGTGCCTTTTAATGGTAGCAGAGGAAAAGGACATTTTTCCTCTACCAGAGTATTCTATCCTGATTCTGGCATGGGTAAGGGGATGAACAAAGCATTCCCCCCTCATCTTACTCACTCCGTAAGGAGAAAACATTGGGGGATGTATGATTTTTTTTCTCCTTACTCACTAATGAGGCAAGAACCTTGGCTATCCTGAAAGTGACTGGATGTTCATAAAACATGGTCTTGCAGGATTTGAACCTTCTGGCCTTTGTGGAAGGTGGCAAGATAGCATTTGTGCCAGGCACACAGGATCACTGAAAAGTGACCTGCTTGGCTTGTGGATTTTTTTCTCATCAATCGTGTCACTGTGGTTAAACCAGCAGTTCTTGGCACAGGGATGCCTCGGGTGCCTTCCAGGTCCTGGTAGGGAGCTAGGGGTGGGACACCTTACATTTTGCCCTTCTGACATCAGAATACAATGATTTCGGGCCCTTTCTGGTGCTTCTGGAAGATAGGGCCTGGCCCAGCCACAGACCCATCGTGAGCGTGGCCCCTACTTGATCGCATTCCTCCTTAAACGAGGAGAGTGCTCTGGAGAGGAGGAAGCATGGATTCCAATGGCCTTAGAGCAGAAGTAAAGCCAGATCAGGCCCACACCCTGTGAACGACAGTCATGGATTGGTGGAGTGTGGCTTTGGGATTCATCTGAAGAAGCCCCCAGCTTTGGCCCTCTGCACTGAAGAGGGGCTAAAAATGATGGCATCTGCTCTTGCAGACTCTCAGTGGCCACGAGGGGGCTGTGAAGTGCCTGTGCTTTGACGAGTGGCATCTCCTCTCAGGAAGCACTGATGGCCTGGTCATGGCCTGGAGCATGATGGGCAAGTACGAGCGATGTCTGATGGCCTTCAAGCATCCCAAGTAGGTAGCAGCGAAGGCTGGTCTCAGATACTTGGAATTCCCTCCTTTCTCTGTCATAGCCTAGACTGCTGTCTTTGCCAGAGTTGTTCCTTCTGTTCCCTGATGACCTCTTGTCCTTTCTCCTCCTCATCCATTTCTGGTTCCTTCCTCTCCCATGTGTTACCCATTTCTCTCCACCAGCCTCTCTGTCTATTTCCTCTCCCACCTTCACTGTTTCTCCTGTGAAATAATAATGCTAGAGGTGGAATTTAAGAAGTTACTGACATTTTGTTCATGACATATATGATAAATTCATATCTGTTATCTACCAGGCTTACAAATACTGACAGAACCATCCTAAATAACACCGATCTTAGTAAACCTAAAATTTTTAAACCTGGTCTTTATTCCAGGAAGCTTGAAATCACAAAAGCTTAACATGATACAAGTGCCAAAGATTTAAAAATAACCAAGGGAAGCCAGATGGTAAAACACAATGCTCTTTAAGGCGATTCCACTTGGGAAGGTGCCTGGTTCAGGTATGGAGACCTCCTTGAGTATGCCATGCACACATGTGCACATGATCTGGGGGATGGCTGAAAGCTGGAGTGGACTGTGACCCTGTTGAGGGTGACCTATCACCCTTTTTCCCTTTTTTCTCTCTATTGCTTATGGAGGAAATAAATGAGCAAATTAAACAAAATAAAACAAAGGGCTTTAAAAAAAAGAGCTTATACTTACAAACCTGTTGGGTTAGATTCTATTGTAGGACAGCAAATGGATTTTCTATTACATTCTAATTCAAATTTAGTGGTGGTGGCTGCTTGGAGCCAATGAGGAAGCATTCTGGGGTCACTTCTGGGTTTGTTTGGAAAGAGTATTATAGTCAATAAATGATTTTCTATGGTCATGGGTGTTAGAGGCTGTCCTAGGCCACTCTTACATTATGTAGATAATGCTTCTTCCTCTTGAGTGCATTATAAAAATTTCCAAGAAACTAAATGCTGTTTTAACCAATAAAAAGAGCAAGTGCATTTTCTAAGTGATCTATCAAGAGATAGTTGCTTAGTAAGTTATGGTCCTAGATTTCCTTCTACCTTCGTAAGAACCCTTTAAGCAGACACACTGGTCTTATGGGAGATGTAAAGGGATACGGGAATGTTTGTGTATGCTCTCTACCTGGTATGTGACTGTATTATTGACAGGTGGGTACTTGGAAGGGCCTATGGTCAGTGATTTATCCAACCCCTAGATGATCATCAGTATTTCGCTATGTCATATGGATTTTCAAGCCTTGACCTCAGCATGGGAGTCAAACTTTATGACATTACCTGAAAATTGTAACTATACGTTTTCAACCTTCTAAACAGGACTCAATAGGATTTAGTTAGTTATTGGAAAATAATTTGTGCTCAGAAAGCCTGGCAGTTTGGAAACCTTTCGATCAATCTGTGAGCCTCCCACTTCACCTCTACTATAAGACCTTCTGAGACAACTCCCACTTTCCTGAATGACAGCTCCAATGGGCCATTCACATTGGTTCTAGATACCTTGTATGGTCACAAAAAAACCCTAGATATCTGGAAGACATTGTTGATGCTCCTATTTATATGTCCTATCCTCCTCCACTTGTCTATAGCTGTTTTGTGTATGTGTAAGTGCTCAATAAATATATCTGATTGATAATCAGAAATAATTTGACAGATTGCCTGTCTGGCGAGTTCTAATGATTGGACTTATACCCATCTTTGGAAGATGATATAGATGAGAAAATAGGTATAGCTACTTTCTGTCATTTGATGGAAGAAGTGGTTAAGAAAGGGATTTCCTGTTCTCTCGATGTAAAATTTTTTTCAACCAAAATTGAGACTTCTGCATATCACATGGGAGAAAATGGGTATGAGAGAGGAAACTTGGAGATACAAAGTAGGGCTGGTAGAAATGATGATCTTTGGCCCATCTTCTGTATTATGTAGTATCTCTGTAAATTTTTTATTCTTTGATGTCTTTCCTGTTGCTCATATTATGATTAAGTTTTCTTTGCAATTTTAATTAGAATATGATTCATGTAATTTAAAAATTATCATTTTAATGTACAATTCAACATTTTAGTGTATTCATGGTATTGTTTAACTGTTACTACTAATTATAGAAAATTTTTGTTTGTAGCCTTTTGGCCGGTTAATTATCTTCCAGTAATTAATCAAAATGATGAACACTGAGGAAAAGAGGAGAGGCACCCGATATATGCTCTCTAGGCCTTTTAGAAAACATGGAGTTGTTCCTTTGGCAACATATATGCAAATCTATAAGAAAGGTGATATTGTAGACATCCAGGGAATGGGTACTTTTCAAAAAGGAATGGCCCAAATATGTGGCCATGGCAAACTGGAAAAGTCTACACTGTTACCCAGCATGCTGTTGGCAGTGTTGTGAACAAACAAGGGCAAGATTCTTGCCAAGAGAATGAATGTGCATATTGAGCATATTAAGCATTCTAAGAGCAGAGATAGCTTCCTAAAACATATGAAAGAAAATGACCAGAAAAAGAAGGAAGTCAAAGAGAAAGATACCTGGGTTCATTTGAAGTGCCAGCCTGCTCCACCCAGAGAAGCACACTTTGTGAGAACCAATGGAAAGGAGCCTGAGCTACTGGAACCAATTCCCTATGAATTCATGGCATGAAGGGTGTTAAAAATAAACTAATCTATGGCCCATTTAAAAAAAAGAAAGAAAGAAAATTTTTGTTGGTAAATAGAAATGTCCCACTCCAGGACCAGCAGATGCCATAATGTTGCTGGACTCCCATGTAGTCATTTGAGTCTTGTACCCAGTGGCTTAAAACTCACACCAGTGCATGTACATGCATGTCTAAAATCCCAAGAGTAGAATGGAGAATGGATTGTGGCATGGCCATCCTCACTGGGAGCTGGTTTCTCGCTTTCTGTCTCTCTGTCTCTCTAGCAAGCACATGTGCCCTATAGTTAAAAAAAAATCTCTCTTAAAAAAAAAAAGAATAAAGAAATGTGCCATTTCACTCCTGACATTAGTGATTTGAGTCTTCTTTTTTGTTTTCTTGGTCAGTCCAAGTAAAGATATGTGAATTGTCTAGGTAAAGGTTTGTTGAACTTTTTTGCTCCCTATATTGCCCAAGGGCACATATGTGTGCATGAGAGAGAGAGAGAGAGAGAGAGAGAGAGAGAGAGAGAGAGGAGAAAGCACACCCCCACCTCCTCTGTGGAGTGTGGAAAGGGAAAGTATTCCCTTTCCCTCCATCTTTCCATCTCACCAGAATTTTGGGTACACACAAACACATACACAGGCCCAGTGTATTTTTTTTTCTTTTAAAAAAAAATTTGCGAAAGAGAGATGGTCACCCAAGGGGGTGATCATCCCACAGTTCTTTCTCCTCAATTCTCCTTTTGGGATTTTTGGGTTGCATGCACATGTACCTAGTGTGTTTTTGAAGTCACTGGGTCCAGGACTTGAATTGCACATTGTCCATGTATGATCCAACCACCTTAACCAGCATGGCACCAGATGGCCTGCCAAGTGTATTTTTCAAGTCCGTGGAGCCAGGACTCAAACTATGGTCAGCCATGTGGGATCCAGCTACCTTAGCACTTAGGCTATTAGGGCTGGCCCATTTTGACCTTTTTAAAGTACCAACTTCAGTTTTTTTTTTTTTTTTTATTTTCTGTATTTATCAGTTTTCTATTTAATTTATTTCTACTATAATTACTATTATTTTAAAAATAATTATTCAATTTATTTATTTATTTATTTTAATTTGACCAGAGAGGAATAGAGGAAGAGAAGAGAGAAAGTGAGAAAGCAAGTGGCCAGGTCTGGAACCTGAGCCACAGATGGTCATGTGGGAGTCCGGTGCCCTTAACCACCATGCCACCTGCTGGCCCTCTACTATAATTATTATTTCCTTCTCTCTGCTTCATTTGGGTTAAGTTTGATCTTTTTCTAGATTTTTTTATGTTAAACATTCAGGATATCAATTGGAGAAAATATGGGCATTTACTGCTATAATACTAGCTTAATTTCTACATACTTATGAATTTTAAAAATGATCTTCATTACTTAATTCTAATTTATTTAATAATTATTTTTTATTTTATTTTATTTTATTTTATTCATTCATTCATTTATTTTTCAGTTTTACCAGAGAGAGAGAGAGAGAGAGAGAGATGGATGGTGAGAATGAGAGAAAGAGGAAATGAGAAAATAAGCCACCAGATTCAGGACTCGAACCCTGGTTGGCCATGTGGGAGTGTCCAGCGCCTTAACCACCATGCCACTTGCTGGTCCCTCACTTCTAATTTAATTCCATTGTAGCTGGAATGGAATTAAATTAGTTGGAGAGCACACTCTGTATGATTTGAATTTTTCAAAATTTATTGAGGCTTGTTTTGTGGTGTAATATATGGTCTATTCTGGAGACTGTTCCATATGTATTTTAGACAAATGTGTAATCTGCTGTTATGTGAAGAGTGTTTTGTATATGTGTGCTAGGTTTAGGTAGTTTATAATGTTCATGTCTTTTCTTTCCTCGCTGATCTTCTACCTTGTTGTTCTAGTCATCATTTTTTTTAGAGGTTTTTGCTATAGGGCACGTGCGCTTGCCAGAAAGAGACAGAGAGAGAGACGGAAAGCAAGAAATCACTCCCCAGGTGGAATGGCCATGCCACAATCCCTTCTCCTCCATTCTCTTTCCGGGAGATCTGGGGCACACATGCATACACACCTGGTGTGAGTTTAAGCCACCGGGTCTGAGACTCGAACCATGGTCGACTGCATGGGAGTCCAGTGACATAGCCATTAGGCCATCTGCTGGTCTCTCTAGTCATCATTTATAGTCTGCCTCTGTGAAATTGTCTATTTCTCCCCTTTAATTCTACATTTTTACATGATGTTTTGGAATTCTGATGTTAGATATGTTTACATTTATAATGATTATATCTGCTTGCTCTTTTTTTTAACATTTTATATATATATAAAATGTTAATTACATACAGACACACACACACACACACACACACACACACATATATATATATATATATATAATTTGTCTAAAAATCTATTTTGTCTCTAGCTCTCTTTTGGTACAGAATATCTTTTTCTGTTCTTGTACTTTCAGCCTATGTGTGTCTTTTAATCTAAAGTGAATTTCTTGTTGTGAACATAGTGTTGGGTCATGTTGTATCTATCCTTTATTCTGATCTCTGCTTTAATTGGAGAATTTTATTCATTTATAATTAATGTAAAAATGAGTTTTGCCATTTTCTATAGTTGTATATATATTTTTTTAAGAGAGATTTTTGCAATAGGGTGTTTACCAGAGAGACAGAAACTGAAAAATCACCTGCTGGGGGAATGGCAATGCTGCAATCCCTTCTCCTCCATCAATGTTGGAAGGAGAGGCCAAAGGAGATGCATTTAAGTCATGAAGGCTATGTTTTCATGAGTGGATTAATGCCATTCATTATCATGAGAATGGGTTATTATTGGGAAAGTGGGTTCCTTATAAATAGACAAGTTTGGCTCCTCTTTCTATCTTACCCCTTGTTTTTCCTCTTGTATAGGATAATTCAGCAAAGAAAGCCCTCACCAGATACCAGCTCCTCAGTCTTTGTCTTAGTTTGTTTTCTGCTGGCGTAACAGAAACTACAGACTGGGTAATTTATAAAGAAAGGAAATTTATTTGGTTCATAATTCTGGAGGCTGGGAAGTCCAAGATTGTAGTGTTGCATCTAGTAAGGGTCTTCTTGCTATGCCATAACATGATGGGAAGGCATCGCATGCCAAGAGAGGGTGAGAGTGCATGAGACAGAGAAAAAGGGAAACAAGTTCCCATGATAACTGACTCTCATGATGCAAGCATTCATCTACTTACGAGGGCTCTGCCAATTACATCTTAAAGGTCCCACCTCTCTCTTTTTTCTTCAGATTTTTGCCATAGGGTGCATGTGCTAGTCCAAGAGAGAGAGAGAGAGAGAGAGTGAGAAATCGCCTCTTGGGGGAGCAGAGAATGGCCATGGTGCAATCCCTTCTCCTCCATTGTCCTCTCAGGATTTTGAGTACGCATGTACACATGCCTGATGTGATTTTCAAGCCACCAGGCCCAGGAGTTGAACCATGGTTGGACATGTGGTAGTCTAGAGCCTTAACCATGATGCCACCTGCTGACTCCATTCCTGACTCTTAATACTGTTCCACTGGTAATTAAATTTCAACATCAGTTTTAGTGAGGACATTTAAGCCAAACTAGTCTGGGACTGCCTAACCTCTAGAAGTATGAGCCAATAAATTATGGTTCATTATAAATTAACCAGTCTGTGGTATTTTTATGTTCAAAAGTTGATCCGTTTATTTTCTTTTCTATGACAGAGATAAAGAGGGACAGAGAGAGCAAGGCAGGTACCATCACTGAGAGTCCCCATGCTGTGATTCACCCTCAATCACAGCTCGCCCAGATCACAAGTATGAATATTCATGGTGTGTAGAGGGCGGTCCAAGGACATGGACCCAGGACCTTCCCTTGTGCCTGGCCCTTGTTGGAGTTTTTAATATTTATTTTACCCTTTAGTTTTATTTATCTAACCTATCTACCTGTCTATCCATCTACCTGTATCTATCAATCTGTCTAACCAATCTATCAATCTACGTTTTTTTTTGAGAGGTTTTTGCTGTAGAGCGTGTGCTCACCAGAAAGACTAAGAGAGAGACAGAGAGACAAGAAATCACCCCCCCCCAGGGGGGAAGGCCACACTGCAATCCCTTCTCCTCCATTCTCCTCTCGGGATCTTGGGCACACATGCACATGCACCCGGCACGATTTTAAGCCACCAGGTCTAGGACTCAAATAGCAGTCAACTACATGGGAGAACAGTGACTTAGCCATCATGCCATCTGCTGGTCCCTCTATCTATGTATTATCATCTATCTCTATCACATAAAAACAGAAACCCCTCATAAAAACATTTGCCCCCTGCTATTCTTTGCATTTGCTGAGTATGCGCCTGCCTTTTGGGGTCTTTGCTGTTCCTGTTTTGTTACTTGTTAGGGCCTTGAAAAATCTTCACTTGGCCCTGGAATCTGACAGGGCTAAGGTCAAATGGTATGGGGTGCATGTCATTCTTTAATACACTGCATCAATGACTATACTCTGAAAACGTCACTCAGACGTCAATACACAGTGCAGGGCATGTCTTAGGCACTGTGCTATGGGCCAGGCATGCAGTGATGCAAGACATGAGCTGCGCTCAAGAAAAACTGACACTATACTCATGTGTGTGCACATGTGCAATGAGGAGGGAGGGGGACGTGAGGAGATGAAGATAAGAGGAATTTTTGGAGAAGGCAGAAAGTGAGCTCGGCCACTGGTGAACTTGAATGGGTAGAGATGGCAGGGAATGATGGACTTGCTTTGCACATAGAATCTAACAAACTGATGAGGCCAGTAAGAGGCATGGTAGTTAAGACACTGGATTAATTCCCACATGGCCAACCATGGTTTGAGTCTTGGACCTGGTGGCTTGCTTTCTCACTTTCCCTCTCTCTCTCTCTCTCTCTCTCTCTCTCTCTGTGTCTGTCTGGTGAGTGTACAAGAGTTATAGCAAAAAAAAAAAAATTAATAAATAATTTTTGAAAAAAAGAATCCAATAAATTGGTGACATAAAATTCAACTTTTCAGTGTGAATGGGGGTCATTATACTTCTCAGAATTGAATACTCCCCATATCTGGGGTCTAGCTTGGACCCAACTCTTATAAGGAGGATATTATTGGAGGACTATATCTAGATCTCATCTATTGGTTAATCACACAAACACACACACACACACACACACACACACACACACTCATAAATCTTATCTCTGGGTATAATTTTCCATAAGGATGTTTCTCTGAAAGAATGAAAACCACTAATTTAAGACCAGAAAGAAACTACTCATATGTAAGATTTTTGCTTTATAGAAAGACAATCATTTTCCCTCCTGGTTTTGCTTTTGTTAAAGAATTATTTTGATTAATTTCATTTGTTATTATTATTATTATATTTTAAAATTTGACCAGAAACAGACAAAGTGAGAAAGCAAGCCACCAGGTCTGGGACTCAAACCACAGTTGACCACATGGGAGATGAGTACTTTTAACCATCATGCCACCTGCTGGCCTTCTTCTTCTTCTTTTTTTTTTTTTTTTGTGTCTGTGTAATAATACTATTTTAAAAGGAATCAAATAATTAATGACATCAAATTCTCAGCATAATTTTTAAAAAAGAATTATTTATTTATTAATAATAAATTAATTACTATTTTGCACGAGTTTTGCCAGAGAGAGAGAGAGAGAGAGAGAGAGAGAGAAAGCAAGATGCCAGGTCCAGTACTTGAACCATAGCTGGCCATGTGGGAATTCTAGCGCCTTAACCCCAACACCATCTGCTGGCCCCTCAGCCTGACTTTTGTATTAATAAATAGCTAGGAATTAAATTGCAAGAGAAAAACATGATCATCTCCAGACCACACCCTAAAAATCAGCCATTGAGACCAGCAGATGAAGTAACAGCTACGTTGCTGACTCTCATGTAGTCGACTGCGGTTCAAGTCCTGGACCCAGTGGCTTAAACTCACACCGGGTGTATGTAGGCGCCTGCCAAAGATCCCAAGGAGTGAATGGAGGAGAAGGGATTATGTCATGGCCATCCCCCCTAGGGGGGTGAGTTCTCGCTTTCTGTCTCTCTGTCTCTGTCTTTCTGGAGAGCGCACTGCCTTATAGCAAAAACCTCTCTAAATAAATAAATAAATAAATAAATAAATAAATAAATCAGCCATTGGTTTTGCTATGTTGTGGTACTGTGACCACACTGCAGGGAAAAGAGCCAGGATGGAAAGAGGTGTACCTTTCTTTTAAGAGATTTTTGCCTTAAAGTGCATGTTCTTGCTGGGGAGAGAGAGACAGAATGAGTGAGACGGAAAGAGAAATTATGCCCCCTGACCCCAGAGGGGATGAACACACTGCAATCCCTTCTTCTTCATTCTCCTGTGATCTTGGGCATGCACACACATGAACCCAGCATGATTTTGAAGCCATCAGGTGCTGGATTCAAACAGTGGTCGGCCATGTGGGAGTCCAGCGACATAACTGCTCCACCATCTGCTGTCCCTAGAAAGAGGTATGTCATAAGAGTTCATGGTTTTCATCCAGAATTATAAAATGATGGCCAACACCACTCCTAGGTGATAGCCCTGCCTCCCAGCCACATACACAATGCAGCAAAGCAAAAAGAAACGCAATAGTTTACCAAAGACAGCTACTGCCTGTTACTCTGCTCTCTTCCAGGGAGGTGCTCCACGTGTCCCTCCTGTACCTCCGGGTCATCAGTGCCTGTGCAGATGGCAAGATCCGCATTTATAATTTCCTCAACGGCAACTGTCTGAAGGTGATAAAAGTCCACGGCAGAGGTGACCCTGTGCTGTCCTTCTTTACTCAGGGCAACAGGTGGGTGGTAGGTGTGGAGGTCAGGGCTGTGAGCAATTCTGTTTGGGTGATATTTTTCTCCTCTGGAATATCAGCTGTGTTTGCTGGCCAGGGGAGAGCGTGGGCAGTGCTTCTCTCTAGTCTTCCCTGTAGTGGAGTCATAGTCTTTGGGGGTACTAATTGAGTTTTACCTAAAATTTAGCAATCAGGAAACTGTCAGAGTTCATTTTGATTCTTAATTCATTCTGGAGGTCTGGAGAAATCACACAGTGGGTGCAATACAACTTTTTGAAAAAGTCACAGGTGTGATATGTGGTCCTTGCTTACTTTATTTTTTTCCATATATAATATTTCTGAACTAGCCAGTAGCATGGTGATTAAGACAGGTGGATCTTCATGGCTGAGTGTGTGGTTTTAGTCCCAGACCTGGCAGTGTGAAAAACACGCTGTGTGTGTGTGTGTGTGTGTGTGTGTGTGTGTCTCCAAAATCCCAAGAGGAGAAGGGAGGAGAAGGGATTGCAGTGCAACCATCCTCCCTGGAGGGTGCTTTCTCATTTTTCCCTTTTATCCTGTCTGTCTCTCTCTGGTGAGTGCACATGCCCTCTAGCAGAATTATATATTTATATAGTATGTTTTATTGCCAGAGGGTGTGTGTGCTCACCAGGGAGAGGTAGAGAGACAAAGAGAGAGGTAGAAAGCACCCTCTATGGGGTAAGGTCATGCCACAAGTCCTTCTCCTTCACTCTTCCATCCTGTCAGAGTTTTAGGCATGCATGCGCATGCACATGGAGTGTTTTTCATTAGAACTATGGGTGACCATGTGGGATATGGCTCCCTTAACCACTGGCCATGAGGTTGTGCCTGTGCTTCCTTTCTGATCATGTGTTTAGTTGCCTGAGAACTCTCTACCAGCTGTCTTGGATGTCCTACTTCCGTTATAGAGACTTACGGGGGGGGGGGGGGGGAGAAAGGACCAGGAGGGAGCAGCAGTTGACTTTTCAAAAGGAGAGAGCAGCAGTTGACTTTTCAGAAACCAGTACCATGACTGAACTAAATATACACAACTGAGATTGTTACATATGGATAGGTTCAAGGTGATATGTTAAAAATAACCAAATAGAATTAGTTTGTAAATTCAACGCCAGGCTCACTTAAGACATCACTTCATCTCCCTGAACCATATTGTCATCCTTTTACTGAACCTTCACTAATAATATTTACCATCTTCAAGAGAGTAGGGCTGGTAGTGAGGCCCAATGAATGGATACTTTTCAGTTTATGAAGTAATGTTGGTGTAAAAACAAACAAACAAAAAAAACCCAGCTCTGACCTTTTCTCATTCGTGACATCCAAAGACGGATGGTTTCCCTTTGGCTTGAGTAAAAATAAGTCTGAACGAAATTTCTTATTGGATGGTTCCCCTAATTGCATTCCAGTGTTTCCAGCCCAAACAATTCACTTTTCTAGAGTTTATGCTAACAATAAGGTCTCTAAGTTGCAGCCTTTTGGAGCAGACAGGAACCTACACTTAGTATGTCCATGTCTTGCTTATAGGTTTAGAAAATGCAGGCACGGCTTGCTTTGTGTAAATGACAGAAACCAGTGAGTAGTGGGAGGCAGTGCTGGGAGGGCATGCAAGTTGGGAAGCTCTTTCTCTACAAGGCACAAATGTGGGGATTACAGGAGACAGAACTCATCCTGTTTAATGAAGTGCAGATGCTCTGTTTACATCTAGGGCTTGTACAGAATCTCTGGAATGATGGCATGGAGTATGTATGTGGCATTTTTTCTTTTTCTTGGAATGATTTTTGCTTTTAGGGTGCATGCACTTGCTGGAGAGACAGAGAGAGACAGAGACAGAAAATGCGAAATCTACCCCCCCAGGGGATTGGCCATGCGCAATCCCTTCTCCACTGTCTTCTTCGGATTTTGAGCGTGCACACATGCACATGCTCCTGGTGTGAGTTTCAAGTTGCCAGGTCGGGGACTCAAAACATGGTTTGCCATTGAGAGTCCAATGCTTTAACCACTATGCCACCTGGTGGCCTTTGGGTGTGGGTTCTTGATATGGAGGGTCAGTGGAGGTGGTGAGGAAGGTTCCCTAGTAGGGTTTTTCTCTTTTCAACGATTTTCTCACTGCAACGATTGAAACATTGGGTTCAAAAGCTGTGCCTTTTTTTTTTCTTTCTTTTTGAAAAAGTAGCATATAAGACATCTGTGTGCAGAATAATGAAGCTTCTGCACTGGGCACCTTGGGTACTTGGCATTCACTCCAGGAACTGAAATTCATTTAAAATTATTTTAACTTGGGAAGCGAAGCAAGCAGAACATATGTACCCCATTGTTATTTATTTATTTTTAAAGAACACAGCTGCAAAGCCAATGGCCCTTGCTGCACGGCCTGATACCTTTCAGACTCTTGAGCCTCCAACACACGACAGTATCCTGTTCATCTGACCATTACCTGGGCACTTTTCTCCTTGGTCTAAAGACAGGACAGGTCTCTGACTCCAATTTGTATTTAGGTCACCTTCATGCTCCTTTGGTGCACAGTCTTGTTGATTTTGTTCCAGAATGGTGGTCAACACAGAGAGCAACATTCTCCTGTTACAGTTTGAGAATATAAAGTGGCAGTACTCCCTGGAAAGAAGTAAACAAAAGAAGAATAGGGAGAAAGACGAGGAGAAGGACGAAAACAGCCTGGACGCTCTCTCCAAGTCTAGCACGCAGGTGCACAGCCTGCGAGACTCTGCCTCCAGTAAGCAAACGGTCACCCAGGAGTTCCAGTCGGGTAAACCTCGCAAGTCCCATGTCCTCGTGAAGGCAGCCAAGTTACCTTCAGGTAAAGGAGCTAAACCCCAGTGAAAACTGATGGTGTAAGTGAAGGGGTGCCAGGCCTGTTTGTTTGTGAGATATTTTTGTCAATGGTTTCTTAAAGGTATAAACCCTAACCTTTCAGGAAGGTGAAGCTGTTCTCCCTGATCCACTGAACAACTCATTATTCAGCTAAAAGGGAGTCTCCTGATTTACAAAATCTTGTAGAGTAGGTAAGACTACCCTTAATATTTGCCATTAAAACAGAAAACAAGCAACCAACCAACACCCCCTACTCTCCAAATCCAAAAGTATTATTACATAATTATTTTATTTTATTTTTTTCCTTTTTTTGGAGAGGATTTTGATATAGGGCGTGTGCACTCGCCAGAGAGACATAAAGCGAGAAATCACCCCCTGGGGGGATGGCCACGCTGCAGTCCCTTCTCCTCCAGTCTCCTCTCGGCATCTTGGGCATGCACGCACACGCACCGGCATGAGTTTAAGCCACCGGATCCGGGACTCGAACCGTGGTCAACTACGTGGGAGTCTAGCGACACAGCCATTACGCTAACTGCTGGTCCCCACAATTATTTTCTCCGGACTGAGATGAGCTACTATAAATGGAAAAAAAAGTGCTCTCTGCAGAATGTATTAGTATCTTTAGACCTCTGAGAGGTAACATGTACCTGGAAAACACCAGTTATAAAGTGTAATGTGTGTGTGTGTCTGTGTGTGCCCAAGTGTGTGTGTGTGCAGATGGTGTGTGAGCATGGCTTATGCCATTTGTAAGACATCTAAAGAATAAATTATGTGTGGGTGATGGTAGCAAAGCTCCTTCTTATCTGCCCTGTATTTAGCATGGGAGGCTGGATCTATGGATCTACAGAGACCACCAATGGATCACCCACAAACATATCACGCCACAGATATTAACAGTCCACTATCTCTGGAGGAGAGGGAACTGAAAGTTTTAGATGATGCTACTTGACAATCAGCAAGAAAAGTGGACAGGAGGGAAGTCAGGGTGTGATTTAGACCTCAGACCCCAGGAGACGACTTAGTTTCAGACGACCTAAAGGATATGGTGATATCTGGGGTGGAGATCTGTTGAATGATCAGCCCCATTGTTACTGATTCTATCATTGCTATGCCCCCGTTATTTAGTCCTACTTCAATTACAGAATGACTACCTTTTCTTCTCACCTGTAACTTACTAATATTCACAGAGGCACCTCAAAGTCAAGGAAAGCCAAGATCACCCCGAAAAGACAGTAAGAAAAGAGCATCTCCTGTTTCTAAGGAAACAAGTAGCATTAATTCAGAAGCAAAATTCGCAGCAGGAGGTATGATGAATGGTGACACTTCATTCTGAGTTTCTGGCACGATCCCATCTCCCCAGCTCCTCACCCTGTTCAGTTTTGTTTTTCCAGCAGGCTATTCCTTTGCTTATCTTTGAGAATTCACAGTGGATACAATGCCTAGCTTCTCCAAAGAGCAACTGGCTTTTCCTTAATTGTCCCCTTGCTAATTTTAGATTACAGAGTAGGAACTTTTCTGAGTTTGGGGCTCATGGCCTGCCTCTATGCTCTGCCACTTAGCCCTCCTCACTTCCCGACTGTGTAACGGACAACCTGAGTAATGGGAACAGCAGAAGAGAGATGAGGCGGCTGAGGCTGGTTTCAGAGGGCATCTCAAGGGATTTCATGAAGGAAGAGAGATTTTGGGGTGGGTGCTATGTACATGAGATAAGGAACAGACAGAGGGTTTTGTTTTTGTTTAAAATTTTTCCTGTAGGGCACTTGTATTCACCAGAAAGACAGACAAAGACAGAAAGAGAGAGAGAGAGAGAGAGAGAGAGAGAGTGAGAGAGAGAGAGAGAGAGAGAGAGTGTGAAAAAGCACCCCCCCTCTGGAGTGTGGCCATACCACAATCTCTTCTCCCCTAGGGATTTTAGGTATGCACCTGGTTTGTTTTTTCAAACTGCTGTGTGTGGGACTCTAATTGTGCTGTTGGCCATGGGGGATCCAGTCCCCTTAACCACCACATGCGATACAGCTTTTAAGAAGTCACTGGTCATCATGACTGGAATGTCCTTTTGTTGATTTTGAAGGGTATTGGCAAATATTTAAAACATCTATCAAATATTTTTGGCTAGTGTAGTAATATTTCTGTGAAATAAACTCTTTGCAGAGAGTGGTTTCAAGATGAGGACATAACAGTGACATTCATAAGGGTATATATCTGTGTACAGGTCTACCTGTAGGGTAAACTGATAGGCCAAAGGTTAAGTGTATTTAAAAACCATAAAGATATTGCCATAGTTGTCTTAAAAATGTCCATTTTTGGGAACCAGCAGTTAGCGTAATGGCTATGTCGCTGGACTCCCACGTAGTCGACCGCGGTTCGCGTCCCGGACCCGGTGGCTTAAAACTCATGCCGGGCGTGTGTGCATGCGTGCCCAAGATCCTGAGAAGAGAATGGAGGAGAAGGGATTGCAGCGTGACCATCCCCCCTGGGGGGTGATTTCTCGCTTTCTGTTTCTATGTCTCTCTCTGTCTGTCTGGCAAGCGCACGCGCCCTGTAGTGAAGATCTCTCAAAAAAAAAAAAAAATGTCCATTTTTAAAAAGAATTATTTAACTTTCTTTTTTAAATTTGACCAGAGAGGGAGGGAGATAGAGAGAGAGAGAGAGAGAGAGAGAGAGAGAGAGAGCGAGCAGGCCAGCTACACACGGGACTCGAACCATGGTCGCCATGTGGGAGTCCAGCGCCCCTAACCAACACATCACTGCCATCCCCTTAAAATTGTCTTATCAGCATGCGGTGTGGTGGATAAGCGCTCTGGATTCCCACATGGCCGACCATGGTTCAAGTCCTGGACCTGGTGGCTGACTTTCTCACTTTCCTTTTCTCTCTCTCTCTCCAATGGTCAAATAAAAAAAACCCCTAATAATAACAAATGTAATGAAATAAATAAATAATTCTTTTTAAAAAATGTCTTGGGACCAGCAGTTAGTGTAATGGCTACGTCGCTGGACTTCCACGTAGTCGACCGCAGTTCACGTCTCAGACCCGGTGGCTTAAAACTCACGCTGGGTGCGTGTGTGTGCGTGCCCAAGATCCCGAGAGGAGAATGGAGGAGAAGGGATTGCGGTGTGGCCATCCCCCCTGGGGGTGATTTCTCGCTTTCTGTCTCTCTGTCTGGTGAGCGCACACGCCCTATAACAAAAACCTCTTCAAAAAAAAAAAAAAAGTCTTATCAGGACCAGTGAGGTGGCATGGAGTTTAAAGCAGCTGGATCCCACATAGATGACTATGTGGTTTGAGTTCTGGATCCAGTGGCTTGAAAAACACATTGGACATGTGTACGTGCGTGACCAAAATCCCAAAATCCCAGGAGGAGAATGGAGGAGAAGGGATTGCAGCCTGGGCTCCCCTCCCAGCAGGTGCTTTCTCACTTTCTGTCTCTCTTTTTCTTCCTTTCCAGTGAGTACATGTGCCCTATAATAAATTAAAAAAAAATGTAGTAACAGTTTACATTTCCACTAATAATGCACGAGCACGCCACTGTGCTCACGCCAGCTCTGGGGGTCACTCATCATTTTGCACTCGCTTGTATAAGTAAAAATGGTATTTGCATTTCTTTAAAGTTTATTCTTAACAAACCAATGGTTGTCAGTGGGCAATGATTCTAGACTGTTCTGTTGCTAATAACAGAAAATATCTGAAGGCTGAGGGGCCACATCTATTGAGGGTCTTCTGTCTGATTACAACATGGCAGAGGGCAGAAGCATGTGCAGTGCAGAGCCTGTCTGTGTGTGTGTGTGTCTGTTCTGGTCTCATTTGCTCTCCGTACATAACCTCACTGGGACTTATGGGGTTCAGAGTCCTGGTGAGTTTATAATATGGAGAGTACTATCCTTATACCTAATTAACTTCACAAAGGTCTCACCCTTTAACACCATAATAGGATTAAGTCTCCTCTTAATACCTTCGCAGTACAACCAGATTCCTACACATGAATTTGGGGGACCCAGTCAAACCATAGTAGCAACGGCTAAGGAGATCATGAAAAATCCATAGTCTGAGGGCCTGCTTGGTGCTGTAGTGATAATGCTCGGCTCATGCAATGCTGGATCCATATGGAAAATAGAGGGTTTGATTCCTAGGTTTGACCTGTACACACCAGACCTGTGTGCCCAAGATCCTGGCTGGGGGGACCAGCAGTTGGCGTAATGGCTATGTGGCTGGACTCCCATGTAGTTTACTGCAGTTTGAGTCCCAGACTCGGTGGCTTAAACTTATGCTGGGTTCATGTGCATGCGTGCCCAAGATTCTGAGAGGAGAATGGAGAAGGGATTGAGGCATGGCCATTCCCCCTGGGGGGTGATTTCTCGCTTTCTGTCTGTCTGTGTTTCTGGTGAATGCATACGCCCTATAGCAAAAATCTCTCAAAAAAAAAAAAAAAAAAATCCCAGCTGGGAAGGCTGGTGATGGACAGGACGAGGAGTGCAGCATAAGACCCTATTGAGGTTACTTATCTTTCTCTCTCTTCCTGTTTTTCATTTTTGTAAAACTTAAAAAAAAATCCATACTGTGGAATACTATATAATAGATATAATAGCTAAAAATATTATGAGAATACATATATCTGGGCTAGGAGAGAGATCCAGAGTGTGTGTGTGTGTGTGTGTGTGTGTGTGTATTTAATTGCTAGAGGGTGTGTGTCCTTGTCAGAGAGAGAATGAGTGAGAGAGGGGGAGAGAAAGCACCTCCCAACTGGGTGTGAACACACCACAATCTTGTCTCCTCCATTTCTCCATCCGGTCAGCATCCTGGATAGGTACAAACACGGGAGTGTGTTTTCCAAGCTGTCAGGGCCAGGAATTGAACCTGCGGCCAGCCATGTTTGGATCTGGCTTTCTTTTCTCTTTTTTAGTTTAGTATAGGGCGTGTGCACTCATCCGAGAGAGACTAGGGTGGAGGGAGTGAGAAATCACTCCCCAAGGATGGCTATGCTGTAATCCTTTCTCCTTCATCTTCCTCTTGGGATTTTGTGCACATGTGCATATGCACTTGCGTGTTTTCAAACTGCCAGTCAGGGCCTTGAGTCACACTGTCAGCAATGTGGGCTCCAGCTGCCTTAACCACCACAGCACCCGCTGACCCTGGGAGCTCCTCTTTATTGCTTTTTAGTCATGTGATATTCTGATTACTTGTGGGACTTATTCTTTAAAGGCAGGTTTGATTTTTGATTTTAGGAAACAGTCAAGATCTTTTTGGAGTCAAATTTGGTAAGTAAGGTAGAGATCAAACTTTCAATAATTCTTGTTGAAAATGTAGGTGTTACTGTAACTGTAAAGGATTTTTTTATATGGGTCATAAATGAGATGTGAAGGGGGCTGGCAGGTGGTGTAGTGGTTAGGGGTGATGGACTTCCACATGGCTGATCGTGATTCGAGTCCTGGACCTGGCGACTTGCTTTCTCACTCCCCGACTGCTCCCACTCTGTCCCTCTCTGTTCAAATTAAAATACATACATATATAAATAATTTTTAAAAAAATGAGATGTGAAGATAATTTTCATAGGGCAGTTTCAAAAATCTGCACAGCATTGGAATCACTATACTGCCTTCCAAGTGTACACATCTAGAAGCTAGCGATATTGTACACTCGCTGCACAAGTACTATTAATAGCATAGTTGCTGAAAGCTGGTTTTGTTAAGTCATTTCTGATATCACTAGGAAAGTTTGCCTACATCACACTGGGCAGCAAAGACCTTAGAGTGCCTAGAAGTTAGGCTTGGGAACCAGCAGTTAGCGTAATGGCTATGTCGCTGGACTCCTACGTAGTCGACTGCGGTTCGCGTCCTGGACCCAGTGGCTTAAAACTCTTGCCGGGCCCGAGTGCGTGCGTGCCCAAGATCCTGAGAGGAGAATGGAGGAGAAGGGATTGCGGTGTGACCATCCCCCTGGGGGGTGATTTCTCGCTTTCTGTCTCTCTGTCTCTCTCTGTCTGTCTGGCGAGTGCACACGCCCTATAGCGAAAACCTCTCAAAAAAAAAAAAAAATCATGAGGAGAATGGAGGAGGAGGAATGGCAGCTTGGCTATCACCCTGGGGAGTGATTTCTTTTTCTCTATCTCTCTCTGGCAAGAGCATGCATCCTATGGCAAAAACCTAAGGAAAAAAAAAGCCAACAAAAATAATGGCTTTCACGTCATGCATAGGTTACAATACAGCTCAGCTCTCCTGGTCAATAACAAGTTCTTAGCGTTTTTCATGGAATGATTTTTTTTCTCTCTCTTTTTGAAAAAGCAGATGATGCGGAGACAATACAAAGTCAAAGACGATTGGAAACTCCTACAGAATTGATCGAGTCATCAAAGAAAAAGTCCCGAAAAACCCCGATGTCACCAGACCAGTTCCTCCTGACCGTTAACACCCTGCAACAAGCCCATAATTCAGGGAAATTTGCTTATCCCCACAGGCCCCAAACCCAAGTCATTGATGCCTGGGGACCTTCAATTCCATACCCAAGGAAGGTCCTCAATTCCAAAGGAAAGTCAGTCCAACGTGTAGTTGATCAGTTGAGGTTCAGCAATCCTCCCATCGATGTGAAACAAACTAACATTCCCTTGGAAATCCAGAAACTGCAGCCCAACTTGAAGATCTCCTTGCACAGTCCCATAGTCCAGTCCACCATACCCCAGCCCATGATCATCCGTTCCAGGATCTCTGGCGGCTCCAAGGGTGAAGACCAAATGACCAGTTCAACTGAAGGGGCGGTGCGCAGTATGGGCCCTCTGACCAGTATGCAGGTCATTAAACAGAACCGCATGCTCACGCCACAATCAGACTCAGCCACCCTGGCTCCCAAGAAAGAACGGCCTCGCTTCTACACTTCCCTGGATCCCCTCAGACTGGACACTGAGTTCATGCTGTTGACTGTGAAGGAGGAGAAAGAGTACAGGCAAGCCAAGATGAAGGAATATGAGGCCAGTGAGTCCCCTGGAACAGCTGATCCAGGAAGAGCCAGCAAAGCTGCATGGATCAGGAAGATCAAAGGCCTGCCTATTGATAATTTCATGAAGGAAGGGAAAACAGCAGCTCCTGAACTTGGACAAAACGTATTTATCTAAACCAGCCGTGGGAACTTACAATGTCTTACAATAAACAGAAAACCAAGTGGATGTTGGTGTTTTCCTTTTTTTTTTTTCCCCCAGACTATTCCCTGGTAATTAACATGGGAACTCCTAATTATCTTCCTGAGTCCAAGAATTGATATTATCAAGTGAGAAAAGAGATGGAGACTGCGAGATTAGCATCTGTACTCACTGAAAACCATTCAGCAGATGGCATAGTGGTTACGTCACTGGACTCCTACATGGTCAACTGAGGTTTGAGTCCTGGACCCAGTGGCTTGAAAATTACAAGTAGTGAGTATGCCCAAGATCCAGCATGGCCATCCTCCCCCCACTCCGCGCCCCCACCCCCACCCCCTTGCCAGGTAACTTCTCACTTAATTTTTCACTTTCTTACTGTATCTGTTCCCCCACACACTCTAGGGCAAAAGGCTCCCCCCCCCCTTTTTTTTTTAAAGAAAAAAGAAAGCCATTTGGAGAATTTAGGGAAGATAGATTTCACTGATGGGGGATGGGAAGATCACTGGAAATTAGATATAACTTAGTACTATTGTTTCTTCCAGCAAATGAAGTGACAGGATCATAATAGTATAATACTTGGGAGTTTCCTAGTATCTTTGCATAGAAACCTAAAGAAATTCAGGGATGGGGCTTGCAGGTGGGATGGCAGTTAAAGCGTTGGACTCCCACACGGCCGCCCATGGCTCAAGTCCTGGACCTGGCAGCTTGCTTTCTCATTCTCCCTTTCTCTCTATCTACTCAAATTAAAGAACAGTAAAATAAATAAAATGAATAATTCTTCAAAAAAAATTCAGTGAGTTAAGAATCTAAACCTAGGGGGCTGGTGAATGGTATGGTGGTTAAGGGTGCTGGACTCCCACATGGCTGACTACGGTTCAAGTCCCAGACCTGGCGGCTTGCTTTCTCACTCTCTGTTTCATTCTGTCCTTCTCTGGTCAAATTAAAAAATATATGAATAAGTTAAAAAAAAAATCTAAACCTGGAAGCACTCAACAGGTTTGACCTATTGCACTTGAGAATGTTTTGTATGCTTTTCCTTCTCAGGGCTAACTCCTGTGGAAGGGAATTAAGAAATTCATCCTCTTTATAAAGAGGGGCATTCATTTCGAGTGTGTTGAGGTTTCTATTTAAATCTCTGCTGGACGGTGGGAAAGACCAGGTAGATAATTAAGAAGAGTGCAGCCCGCCCAAGGGACCTGTGGCCCTCAGGAAAGCTTCTACTCTGGCTCAGCATGGCCATCTTTTGCTTAAGAAAATCCAGGAATTCAGATTTTCCTGTGAAATGCCCTACATTTTAAAGAATGATAGTGGATTAAAATAGAATGTATAGTAAAAGTAAAAACAGCAAAAAGACAACTTGACCAAACAACACAGGGCTGGATCGGCCCATGAAAACAGACACCAGGCAGGCTATCTATTCACCTTTAAGTCTTCCAAAGCAATCGCTTTGCACAGTTTTCCCTTGGAGAAATTTTCTTCTTCATTACTAGGATATTAAGCCTAAAATTTCATGAGCAGGGGCCGGCAGGTGGCACGGTGGCTAAGGCACTGGATTCCCACATGGCCAACGCCTGTTCAAATCCTGGACCTGGTGACTTGCTTTCTCACTTTCCTTCTCTCTGTCTCTCTCTGGTCAAATAAAATAAATAAATAAAATTAAATAAAAATAATACTTTTTTTTCTTAAGAATGATTTTTATTTAGCTTTATTTATTTATTTTAATTTGACCAGGAGGGACAGAGTAAAAGAGAAAGAGAAAGTGTGAAAGGAAGCTGCCAGGTCGGGGACTCAAACCATGGTTAGTCATGTGAGAGTCCAGTGCCCTTAACCACCATCCTGTTGCTGGCCCCAATAAAGATAATTCTTAAAAAAAAATTCACGGCAAACAGCCTTGTAAAATTAGTGACTTTAATGGAAAGAAACCCCTCAATGAATAAAATGTGGAAACACACATTACTCCCTGAGTCTTCCAATAGGTCGGGCAGAGAGATATTGTTAAAAGTTTCAAAGATGACTGAAAGCCCCTTTATTTCGGGTTCTTTGTTCCCAGAAGATCACACCTCTAGCAGCTGGATTAAACAGTAAGGAGAATCACATCTGCCATTCACCACTTTCCCGGCAAGGACACCGTTATCACCCCACTTTACCTTTGAGGACAGAGGTTGGCTACATCATTGGTAATAGAGGGTGAGGAGCGCACGGTCTCAACCTCTATTCTTTACTGTTCCCTGGCATCCGAGATTATTCAGGTGCTCCTAAAATTTTTAAAGTAAAAGAGTAATAGTGTAGAGCAATACAGGTCGTTGTAAAACAAAATTAAATTATGGCTAAAAAAGACCCGACCCACGTACTCGGTGCATCCATCCGCCGGGAAAGTTACGGTTTGCACCTTGCAGACTGCAGACAACTCTCCAAAACAAACGACAAAGCGTTGCCCTGAGAGCCGCTGGCGCCACTGGATTCCCGTCCCAGCAGGTTTCCGCTTCTCCTAGTACCGCGGCCGCCGGGGCCCCGCGCTCTCAGCTCGCGCCGCGCACCGCGAAGCCCCGCCCACCTGCATCCATCCGCCGGGAAAGTTACGGTTTGCACCTTGCAGACTGCAGACAACTCTCCAAAACAAACGACAAAGCGTTGCCCTGAGAGCCGCTGGCGCCACTGGATTCCCGTCCCAGCAGGTTTCCGCTTCTCCTAGTACCGCGGCCGCCGGGGCCCCGCGCTCTCAGCTCGCGCCGCGCACCGCGAAGCCCCGCCCACCTGCCCCGGGATGGAGCCGGTGTCAGTTTCAGTCCGGAACCAACAGCAGCCGCGCCTACGTGGCCACCGGAAGTGGGGCTGGCGCAGGGCCGCCATGTTGCAGCAGGGGAGGGGGCGCAGGCG